CAAATGCCATGGGATGTTTATCTGCAAATACAGGCACCCAGAGTTAGCCCAAAGTAATCCATTCCTAAAAATGTGTCAGATAATGGATTTTATCTGAGTGGGAACCCAATCTCACATTTTTTAAACAGGAAAAGTAGTAACACATTTCTAATTCATATTAATCCACTGTTTTTCAAAAAATATTATGCTGTGCTCAGGTGGCATACCAAAGCTTTTCAGGCCTAACAGTATCTCATAAGTTACCTCGACTTTCCTTACACAGAACAAATATTACACATGAGCCTGACCAAGCTTATGTCTTCTATGTATTTATGTCTTTCTGTAGGCTTTATCGCTTCCAACTTTCCTTCTGCAGAAGGAAAGACCACTTGGGCTCACCCTTTGCTTTATAGTCCATTGAATTTTCCAGAAGGTGTTTTCACTTAGCAGTCTGGGAAAGATGACAAGCAAAAGTGCCCAGCATGTTTAAGGAGCACACACACGAGATGCAGTGCTATCAGGTGGCACTGACACTCACTGGGGCCAATGCCTTGTCTTCTCCCGGGGACGCTGGGCAGCTCAAGCATTTTCCCTGGCTCACACCTGCCATGTCCGTTCGGACGCTTACAGTTCAAAGAGTCAATTCGGGGCCAAAATTTTTATAAAGCCATAAAAACTATTTGGAAGTGAGTTCAGTTAGTCAAGACAAAGCAAAATGAAGAAAGTTATTTCATAATGATTCCCCGTCTTCATGGGATTTTGAGAGAAAGTGCAGAGTGGCCTATGAATGATGTTCTCTGTGGAATTATCTCAGAATTCATGAATTAGGCCAGGTTTCATAGACTCCTCCATCTGACTATATTATTTTAAAGAAGCTGTTGCACGAGGAGAACTTCCATTTAAAGGACAAGAGGAAAACAGCAATCCAATGTTTGTTCAAATGAGAAGTGGCTCTTTAATCACATCACAGAAGTGTTCGGAGAGGGAAAGTTTCTTCTTTCTAGTTAATTATCATTTAATGGCCAGGGGATTATTTTGCATAAACTAATATGCAACAACACTATTTTAAAAACTACCAGTAGTATTGATTAATTAGTTCTCTCATTTAAAGGCTGTAATCAGGCTATTTTTCAAAGGAGAAATAAGAAGTGTATTACATGCAATGTGTCGACTATAAAAAATCATGTATTATTTTAAGCGAAATGAAAGACATCTTAACAGAATCCCTAGGGGTAGAGTAGCATAGCAACCTTGGCCTTACCCTTTAATCTCAAGGCTTCTAATACCTTTGAGTCAGCTGTTACATCACTCACTAGCTTGATTTCGATATTTTGCGAAGTCAGTTGGAGCAGCTTTTCGAAGAGACGTTGACCCTAGGAAAAAATATTCAGAGACAAGGAAAGTCAGAAGCCCTGCACGTATGCTATTTTAATCAGGTATAAATAAACTTATTAAAAATTGAAATTATTCATTCAAATTTTAAAAGGCAAGCACTTCAGCAACTGATACTCATGTAAAATTGTTTCAAAAGAGTTACATAAACACAGTAGTAGCAGACACAGATTATGCTTTCTTGAGTGCTATGCAACCCAACAATTCTTGCCATCATAATT